TCTTATACAGCGAGTATATCCCAAACTATATTTTGACTGGAAAAGTTGGTGGGTCGTCTTATACGCTGGGTTGTCTTGCACGCTGAAAAATGCAGCAGTTTACTTCCACTGATTTCACTTTCACTGATTTTGCTTTCACTGTTGTTCTCATCATGTGCCTTCAAGTTGTTTCCACCTTATGACCACCATAATATCACAGTTTTCCTCACAAGATTTGTTCAGAGGGGTGACCTTGAATCCCTCTGAGGCTGAGAGAGTGTGACTTGCCCAAGTCACTCAGTGGGTTTCCATGGCTGAGTAGGGATTTGAACCCTGGTCATAGAGGCTGTAGTCCAATGCTCAAACCACTATGCTAAGCTGGCTCTGGGAGACCTGCTACTGTGCAACTGATGAAGGAGAACTACAGTTCAGGGATATGAAGCAGCAAAAAGTAGCCAAAATTTTGCTTCATTATCCCCCAAACAACAGTGTTGTCCCTCAAGTGAAATTTCCCATCAGTGCCCAAACTCCAACACTGCAGTAACTGAAAACATTAGCTGAGCATTTAAAAATACAGTTTAAGTGTCCAAATAAAAGGGATAGGCAAAGTGATCAATGTGAATGTGAACACAGCAAATATCAGAGTTCTAGGTATGAACAATTATGAGCATCTCACTCTCTTCAATGCTAGAAATGTAGGGACGGAAGGAAAATTTCATTGGGGGGCAGAAACAATGCTCTCATCTTGCCTCTCTGATCCCCCATAGTTACACCCCTACCTAGGGGGAAAGTAGCAGGCCAGATGGGGAAATGTTGTGCAGAATTTTCCTTAGGATACCAGCACAGGTTAATGAAGTAGGAGAAAGAGACATCTCTCCAGTCCCTTAGCATCTTGTTAATGTGGGTACCCCATTCCCTTATTCCCACCAGTTTGCCTCTATTCTTCTTCATCCCTTATTTTGCTTCTTGAAATAGTAGCTTCCTGCACAGTTCAGGGATAGTAGCTTCCTGCACAGTTCCCATACTACAGCAGTGCCTCATATGACTGAAAGAACCTCCATACCCCATCCCAAAAAATTTAAATTAAAATCTTCTGCATGGAAAACTAACATGCCAGTTGATAGCTGAACTGTCTCCCTGAGGTTGTTTTTTCTATGTGAGGGGAGTTATTTTGAAGGAGCATTGTCACATGAGCCTCCTCTTCATTCTGAAGTAAGGATACAGGGTTAGGAAACAGAGACTCTTCCAGATTGGCCTGATGAAACATAAATTCTCACCATATATCTCCTTGGGTTTGGCCAGGTTTTATTGCTTGATGTTGCCTGTGCATCAGCAATTTCAGTTATTTTCAAGTTTTTTTTTAAGCAGCTACTTTGATCTGTTCCAAGGTTATCTTTTAAACTTGGGTCTGGTTTGCTGAGATGGTCCTATGATTTGAAGGGCAAATTTTCAATTTTAGTTTTAAAAAATTAGTTGTAGATTTATAGAACAAAAGTGCCATTTCAGTGATGCACTGATGGTACACAATAGCTTTTAAGGAAGAGGAAAAGAGAAGGATACTTTCTCCTTCTGACATGTCTCTGAATTAAAAAGAGAAAAAAATCAAGGATGCGAACAAAATGTCTTAGCTGGTGTCAGGAACTGCCAGGAAATAATCTGGAATAACAGAAATGCTGTTTGGATTTAAAAACAAAACAAGAGCTACAGCAGCAAATACTGCCGTTTCCCAAATATGGCCATTTTCCACACATTTGCTGTGTCTGGAGCACCCCTAGGCCTCTGGCTACTCCATCTCCAACTTTTCTCAAAAGTAATCTCTCCTAATATCTATATAATAATATAAAGAACTAAAGATGTTTAAGATCTGAGGTTTTAAGGAAGCGCATATAGGTTGATGATCACTGTCTCCAAAGGGTATCACTATAAATAAAGTTGGCCATTCTGTCTATGTAGGCTACAGAGACAGACATATTATAACACTAGAACCTCTTGAAGAAAAATAGATGAAATCTCCATTTGCATCTCCTTTCCCATTGACAGATCTAGGGACGTTATCACACGGGGGCAAATCTGCTGCTTAATCCACA